ACTGTGCCCCTCTCTGCTGGGACACAGCATCTTCTGAAGGCTCAGTTGGCAGGCGTGGTTACACCTGCAGGTGGCTGTGGCTTGTGGTTCCTCCCCATCACCAATTCTCTGACTTTATTTGCTGATCTCAGTAGACATTGAAACTGGATGCACTGCATGATCTAGTCACTTTGTGTGATCAGTCATCGTATTTAATAAGAGTTATCTTGTGACAGTCACCTCTTGAAAGCTAGAGTTGCATTAAAAAAATCACATGTATTTCACAGTTTGCAAAACTCATCCGTGGTGACAACATCTGCAGCAATAGGTTACTGTCATCTCAATGCACAGGAAGGTAAGGGGACTCCTCTCCAGTTTACCCTCCAAATGGGGCTTGAGATGTCTACACGGACTTTTGCCTTCATCCTAAGCCCGGCATGATTTCTTGTGCCGAATTTCTTGAAGTATGGTTCAGAGAACAACGTGTTCAGTCCAACTGCCAGCTTCCCCCATCAGCAGAATGGGGGATCCTTCTCTCCACGTGAGCCTCACGTGAGCTGCAGGTCCCAGTCCACAGCAGGTGCTCTGCCAAGTGCTCACACCTAGAGGCCACACAGTGGAGCACTGTCAGATTCCTGCCTCCCATCTCGGGACCCTGCAGGGAGATGCGGTTCTGGAATGGAATTATTTAATTTGCTCTTGCTATTTTTTTTTAAAGCAGAGATAGTACTTTATGGAAAAATCTCATAAATCAAACAGAGATGTGATTAAGCATCATGTACATGTGGCCAAGAGGCAGGGTGTCAGCCAGGTGGAGGCAGGTCCTGTACCATTGCATCTAGAGTCAGGCATGTACAAAGAGTTTGCCTCTCTTCCTGGAACTGACAATAAATTATGAAAGTGTCTTAAGTTTTGCAGATGCTTTTTTTTTCTCACAAAAAAGAAAAGAAAAGAAAAGAAAAAAATTCCTTGGGCATAATAGGTGCTCTGTGAATTTATTAGTTGAATTGAATTATGACTTGACAGAAGGAATGAAGACAGCAATTTAAAGGTGTCATAAGTCAACTAGACACAAGGTAAAATTTTAGTCCACAGAGTATTAAGATTAAAAAATTTTTATTCTGAATATTTATGAGATCATAAAGTGGGTGTCAAAATGCTGTTTAAAATAAGCTTAATGGATGGAGAACAACTCATTACTGCGTGTCTCATTACCGGTGCTTACCGCCTCCTTCCCCATGCTCTTCGGCACCCCCGATTCTGCAGAAGCCATAAATCTCTCAGGAACGGATCCTCTAAGTGGAATTCAAACCCTTTTCCATTCATCAACACATTTTCTTGGCTTCTCGTTTCTTTGAGCTTTAAGAAGATGGATGGCAATTACTCCCCTGTGCTCAGAAGCATGGAGGATTCTTTTCTTTTGCATGATGTAATCTTTCAGGTCGAGTGGGCTCTGGACTTGCAGGCTCCTCTCCTGCTCTGCTGGCAGTGACCATCACCTCCCACAGGGTGCTGGGGGGGACAGTGTATTGACCTTTACCAACAAGGACTGAATCACATTCAATCGTGAAAATGGTAAGATCGAGACTTTCAACGTGCTTGAGTAGCACAGGGCAACTTAAGAGTGACAACCTCAGCCTTTCTTTATCTACACAGTGTTGTTACAGTGTTGTTAGAACATGCCGTGTTTAATTTACATTATAGAAAGGAATGAGTACAGAGGACGAATCTCACCACGTTCCCCTGAGTGGCTGTAAACTTGAGGAACTGACTCTCCTGGGGGTACTTTTGTTCTTGTTGCTTGTTTTGTTTTTTCTGATTTGAACTCAGGGGTTTTCACTTGCAAAGCAGGTGCTCTTACCACTTGAGCCATCTTCTCCGGTTATTTTGAAGATGGTGGTCTCTTGAATTATTTGCCAAGGCTGACTTCAAACTGAGATCCTCCTGATCTCCTCAGCCAGGATTCCAGGTGGGAGCCACCTGCACCTGACTGACTGAATCTCACTTTTCCAAGGGCCCTTGCTCCCACATGGCTTCCCGTGGTACATGCAACTTGGCTGTCATACGATCTGTACTGGTCCATCCTTAGTTAATGTAGTGAAATACCTGAGGCTGGGCGACTTTATAAAGAAAAGGCTTATTTAGTTCATACTTCTGGAGCTTCAAGGTCAAGGGCCTACATTGGGAGATGGCTCCTTGCTGGCGAAGTCCTAAGGCGGGCGGTGCAGGACGTAATGTGGCAAGAGATGGAGGACACAGGTGCGTGCTTTCTGGTCTCTTCCTCTTAGAATGTCACCAATATTCCATCACAGGGGCTCTGCTGCCTCCTCCTTTTTCTCCTCCTCCTTCTTTCCATTCTTACTCTTAAGATTCTATGCAATTATTGTCTCTAATTCATTTTGTGTCCAGGTAAGGAAATACATATTTCATTGCTGAAGTTAAAAAAAAAAAAATGGCTGTGTTGAACTTGACTTTGGACAATCAGGCTGTCCAGAAGATGTAAGAGAATTTGCCAGGGGAATTTTAAGAGGACTTGATCCTCACCTGTTTGCTGATTTTGTAACCAGAGCCCCAAGTGGTACATGGCTCTGTCTGCTGTGTAACTGCAATCCGAGGGGCACAGAGGAGACAGGCTGGAGGTGCAGAGGAAATGTGCGTCTATGGGGGAACATCAGCAGTGTACTAGGAACAGGGTCACCAGAGTTCTGAGAGCAGCTGGCACGTCACAGGCATGCAGGGACAAGCAGGCAGTGTGCTGTGTCAGCTGTCCTGCAGGTGGGAGGCAAGGCTGGAGCTCCAGGGGAGCCATGGGATATGCTGGAATTTTGGAGGATGTGGTGGCACATGGACTCTGCGAGGGACATGTTCAGCCATTAGTTATTCAGTAAGCAAGGCAGGCGTGGGCCCATTCTCTTGTGTAATGTTGTGTAAGTGGCTACAGTGAGCTGTGAGAGGGTTTCAGTCAGGGCAACAGCCTGGTTCCAGGTGTCACAGGTACACACACACACACACACACACACACAGATCTCAAGCAATTTTCAAAGCTAACGCATGTCCAATGTAAAAAATATCCAACAGGACAAAAAATGCATGGTAAGAAAATAGTCTGTCTCCTACCTTAGTGTCCTCCATAGACAGCCACCGACACCTCTTTCTTAGGGACCTTGTACTGACACCCAACTCACTGACAGTGTCAGTGACAGTGTATCTGCACAAAGTATTCTTCGCTTTGCAATCTTCATTAATAATGAATTCCGGAGTGCATTCTAAGTCTCTTCGTGGTGATCGCCACATTCATTCAGTGGCTGAAGAGCAGGAGGGGACGAATGTGCCATTGTGTAACTGGTGGCCTAGGAGGCATGTTGGGGGTGGGGTTTAGTCTTTTTGTTGTTCCAGACCAATTCCTGGCTGTGCACTTTTGCACACAAATTCCAGCATCTCATTGTGTTCTAAATCCCTGGGTGGAGTTACTTGGCCAAAACTACTTGTGCCCGTTTTTGTTTTTTTTTTTTTCCGGAGCACTGGGGTTTGAACTCAAGGCCTCATGCTTGCTAGACAGGGACTCTACTGCTTGAGCCACTCTACCAGCCCATTTTTGTAATGGGGATTTTCTCAAGAAAGGGTCTCATGAACTGTTTGCCCAGGCTGACTTCAAACCACAATCCTCCTGATCTCTTCCTCCTGAGTAGCTGAGATTACAGGCGTGAGCCATCAGCGCCCAGCATGCCTTTTATGTTTGCTAGGTGCTGCACATGGCACACCAACGAGGTTGCACCATTTTGCTGTTTCACACATCATGTAGTTAGAAGCCTCAGGCAGACTTTTCTTTTGTACTGGGGTTTGAACTCAGGGCCTTCACCTCGAGCCACTCTGCCAGCCCAGTTTTTTGTCATGGGTTTTTTTGAGATAGGGTCTCTTGAACTATTTGCCCCGGCTGACTTTCAATCTCAGTCCTCCTGATCTCTGCCTCCTGAGTAGCTGGGATTACAGATGTGAGCTTCCAGTGCCTGGCTTCAGACAGACTTTTGATCTTTACAAATATTTTATGTAAAAACAGACAACCAAATTTGAGCACATTTTCCTTTGTTTAAAAGCCGTTACATCTCTTTTTTATGGGATGCATGTTATACCCATGTGTACTTTTCCATGGGTTGTTAGGCTTTTTCTTACTGATTTATAAGAGCTCTTTATATAAGAAGCAAGTTGGTCCTTATTTTTCCTTTTGTGTGTGTTGTAGGGTTTTTCCTCAGTTTCTCATTTGTCTTTTGGTTTTGCTCATGCTCTTGATGCCTTTCAGAATAATTCTCTCTTACTTTCCAGATTTCTGTTTTATATGTCTATTACCAGGAAAGGGAGACAAAGGGAGGAGAAACAGGCATGTGTGAGCAAAGTTTTTCTTTTTTGAAGGTAGAATAGAAAGATCAAGTGGTATTTATGCTCATCTTGTTTTAGTTTGATTTGGTTTGTTTGAGATAAGGTCTCTCTATGTGGCCCAGGCTGGCCTGGAACTTGTGATGCTGCTACTTCAGTTTCCCAAGTGCTGAGATTATAAGTGGCACCACCATGCTTGGCCATGAGGTGCTTTTTGTAGCTGTGAGACAAGGTGACCTTTGAAGACCTTTAAGAAATAAGTAGTCTTTGAAACACCTGATCTACTTTCAATGTTTCAAGAAAAGGAAGGAAGGAAGGAAAGAAAGAAAGAGGAAAGGAAAGGAAGGAAAGAAGGAAGAAAGGAAGAAAAAGAAAGAAAGAAAGAAACAAAGAAAGAAAAAGAAAGGAGTAGCAGAGACCTATGTCCCAGGTGTCTAGGGTGCCAGCCTGAGCTAAGCCTCACTGCACTGGCCATGGTTCCTGCCACTGTGGCAAGTATGGAAGGCTGGTGGATGTGTGGTCATTGTCACTGATGACAGCCTTCCCCTGAGGAACACTTGGCAAACAGTGCCATCAGTGGGACTGATCTGAGGTCTTACTCCCCAGCCCTCTGCGGCACACAAATGTTTTCCCATTCTTTTTTGATACAGGGACCACCTAGAAGCTGCAGGTCACCTGTGCATTCTGAGAGATGTATTCAACTTTGAAAGCCCAGCAGAAATTGCAGACCTCATTGCAGCTGAGAATCTGGACGCAGCTCTGGCTCTTCACCTCTACCGGGGAGGCCGACTTCTGCAAGGTGACCCTCCTGCCCTTCCAAAGTGCAGGGACAGAAATGCTACAGACAGATGCCCTGTGATGTCCAGAGTACACGGAACGGGAATTTGCTTATCCAGCTCACCAATGCAAGGATGAACATAGCTTGTTTTTCTACTGAGCGATTTCTTTTTCTTGGCAATACTGGGGTTTCAACTTGGCTTTGCACTTGCTAGGCAGGTGCTCTACCACTTGAGCCATGCCTCCAGCTAAAGGGTTTTTATTCAACCTGTTAATTAATGAGGAAATTCCTAAGATGCTAATGATGCTTTGAAAGCATTTGGGAACAACTGGGATTTAATGAACTTTATCACAAGATCCCTAGGTGAGCTACAAAACTGATTAACACCCGAGAGGGCAATGAACACTAAGCTTTGTTCCTCTTTTCTACTGGACGGAAATGATTAACAAAGCCACAGATTAGTTAACGTGGCACAAAGTAGGAGCCCTTAATGGCAAGCAGTGACATCAAACAACAGTGCACACTCTTAGAAAACTGCCTAATTAGCCAGGTGCAGTGGTGCATGCCTGTAATCCTAGCTACTTAGGAGTCTGAGATCAGGAGGATCACCATTTGAGGATAGTCCAGCCTCCAAAAAATTCACGAGACCCCATCCCAACAGAAAAAGCTTGGCACAGTGGCATGTCCCTGTCATCCCAGCTATAGTAAGAAGCCTAAAAGAGGAGAATTGAGGTCCTGGGCAAAAAAGTGAGACTCTATCTCCAAAATAACCACAGCAAAAAGGGCTGGAGGTGTGGCTCAAGCAGTAGAGTGCCTGCCTAGCAAATGTGAGGCCCTGAGTGTGATATGTGCAATCCTTGGGAAACCCATGCACTGCTTCTTAGGACGTTGCAAGGTTGTGTGTGAAGCTTTCTTTCCATTTATTTCATTTCCAGGTTGTGGATAGGTCTTCTCACCACTCAGCATCCATCTGGCTTCCCTGAGCACACAGCTGTACAAGCAGGACAGATCCTTGGTTACAGTGCAACCACGTCTGGCTGCTCCCAGGCGAAAATTAAATGACATGACAGAAGTGTCACATATGTGGTCATGTTTCAGGAGGCAGCATGTCGTTTGAGGAACAAAGTTATCCAGAGTAACCTCCTCATAGGGTGGCATTTTGGTCACAAAACATGTGAAGCTCCTGAAACATTCAGGAGTATCATTGGTAACAGTGACATTCTGTTCCTTCACACCATTCTCTCCCCGCTCCCTGTGCCATCTGAAGTTGACCCTTCATATCAGGGCTTTCTTCAGATGGGCAGTTCCACGATGAGTTTATTATTGTTATCTGCTTAGGGTAATGCATGCCCATGGTAAAACATTTCCCCTGGCACAGAGTGTGGCACAACTAAATGACATGGCATCAAGACGTCCATTTTTCTCCCACCTCTTATCCCACTGTCTCATTTATCCTCCCCAGAAGCAACCACAGCCACCATTTTCTTTGTATTTTCTCTAAGAAGGGCACCACGGCTGCCATGTTGGTTTTGGACTGTGGCCCAACCAGTCGCCCCAGACTCTGTTGCTCAGAGCAGTGCACTTGTTCATTGGCACCCTGGAGCAGAGCTGCCAGACCGTCCTCATCCACCATGGCTCAGTCACACCTGCCTCCTCACATGCACACCTCTCCATGGCTTCCTCTGATGTCTTTAGTCAAGGTGGCCTGCTTCTCCTAGAGGGGAACAATCCAGAGAAAGAGAATTTGAACTCACCTTGTCTTTTATGACCCGATCTCAACAGGAATCGCACCACAGTCTGTGGTTACACACATGAGTAGGCTGCCATCCTGGAGACTGGTTACTACCTACACTCACACACACGCTTGTGTAGACCTCTCCCTCCTCCCAAACAAAACACAGTGGCGCCATCTTGCTTTTTCCACTCAGTGCATCTGGGAACTTCCTTCTGTAACAGCACACTTACCCATCATTTAGGAGTGCCAAATTTGAAGTCCTCAAAAAATAGACATTAAAATTATTACCTTTGATCCTTTCTTAACCACTGCAGTGAGCATCTTTGTATAGACATCTTAGCATATAAACATGGGAAAGGATATCTCCTGTCATATTTTTGTGACCCTGCCTGACCTACCCAAACCAGTTGTTTTCTGGAAATGAGGACAGTGTTACTAAAAGAATTAAGACCAGAGAGTTCTTTTTTTGCAGAGTGCGTATATGGCTCCAATTCTCTTCTACGTGTGGTAGGACACAGAGTCTGAGATTCATCCCGGAGCGTGAAAGAAGTATAGAGAATAGCTTTCCTCCCTGAGCCAAGGTCAAGAGTGCATCGCCTCTGGCCTCCTGGGAGCTTGGAGAGGTGACCACAGAAACTGTTGTGTGCAGCCAGGTACCAGCTTCCTCTATGAGTCTGCTGACTGTGATGCGGTGATGTGCATTGTCCTCTGTGATGTTATGTCACACTCAGACACACACACCATATTTTATTCCTCGTGTGCTGTGTATTTCATTACATGGGTCAGAGCTGTTTCCAAATGTTAAAGCTAAATCCTTACTCTTTCTACTGCCTGAGTCTTCTGTTTCTGAAATTCTAAGGGACAGGGGTGATTTTGATTTGGGATATTTATATATGTGGAACTGGGATTTTGAACTTAGGGCTTCACTCTTGCAAAACAGGCACTTTACCACATGAGCCACACCTCCAGTCCATTTGCTCTGGTTATTTTGGAGATGGGGGTCTCGAGAATTGTTTGCCCAGGCTTACCCTGAACCACAATCCTCACAATCTCAGTCTCCCAAGCAGCTAGGTTTGTAAGCATGAGCCACTGACTCCTGGCTGAATTTTTTTTTTTTTTCAATTTTGATTGACACTGAGAAATTGACATCTGGGAAGGTGACTCCACTTCATGTCCTACAAACATACGAACAGATGGATAAGGACCTATTTCTCTTCTCTGAGGGGGAGCTGTTAGAGGTTCCCCCCTTTCGTGTTCAGTTCTTCTCAGTTTCAGTCTTTTTTTTTTTTTTTTTTTTTGGCAGCACTGGGATTTGAACTTGAGGCCTCACACTTATTAGGCAGGTGCTCTTAGCACTTGAGCCACTCCATCAGTTCTTTTATGTGAAGATTTTTTTGGAGATAGGATCTCAAGAACTGTTTTCCTGGGCTGGCTTGTAACCTCGATCCTCTGATCTCTGCCTTCTGAGTAGCTGAGATTACAAGCATGAGTCACTGGCACCTGGCTAATTTCAGCATTCTTGGCCTGTTTTCAAGTAAACACAAAGACATCCAAAGTTAGGTGCTTCTCCTTAGAGTTGGGAGGAAAGAAGTCCTTGGCAAACAATCCTGTGCTGTCACAGAGGGAGGATTGCTCAAATGGATCAGCCCTGAGAGCTGAAGCAACACTGCTCTTAGTGAACTTGGTGTGATTTTTACTTGTTTGTTCTTTATGGAAATTAAACAGTACTTATTCCTAAACACTTAATCTTTTTTAAAAAGTCCAAAACTGAGCAGCATAACCTGTGGAAAGCTAGTGGGAAGCTATTGCTCTGTGGGTTTGAGGTTACAATGTATCCAGAACTTACCCTGGCAGGAGGGTGCTGTAACACTGTTACTAGCAGGCTGGGCAACATTTTATTCTTTCTAAATCCTCATTAATGTATAGTGTTTACTCATTTCTAGAATTACACAAGTAGCTGGGCACAGTGGCTTGCGCCTGTAATCCCAGCTACTCAGGAGGCAGAGATCAGGAGGATCAAGGTTCAAAGCCAGCCAGGGTTAAATAGTTCTGGAGACCTATCTTGAAAGAACCCTTCTCAAAAAAGGGCTGGTGAACTGGCTCAAGGTGTACGCCCTGAGTTCAAACCCCAGTACTGCAAAAAAAAAAGAAAGTAAAAAAATGACATAAGTAGGTAATTTTGAAACTACATGAAAAATATGGTACCTGTAATTTTATCATGCAGAAGCGACCTCTGTGTGTGTGTTTTAAGTTACTTTCATGTCACACTTATGGACTGCTTATTTACCTATTTTTACCTAGCAGTGTATTTTTTTTTTTACCTCCCAGTCATCATTTGATGGGTTTTTACAGCATGGTTACGAATGATTGCACCTTATTTCCACATCCTCCTCACCCATAATCGACATTGTGATGAACAGATTTCTGCACATACTTTTTTGAAAAGGTTTATCCCATTTCTCTTAGGAGTTTCTAGAAGTGGCATTGCAGAATCAAAGGGAATATGCATTTTGGGGGGGTGAGTAGGACTGGGGTTTGAACTCAGGGCTTCAGGCTTGTAAAGCAGGTGCTCTCACTCTGCCTTCCCTGGCTGAGGAAGGGACTACACGAACGTCCTCCCCCTGCAAATTCTCTCCAGAGTCACTCCCAGCATTTCAGATGCCAGCTGTCCTCCCAGGGCCATCCGTGATTTATCGCCTGGGCTTGGCGTGGTCTTTGGAGGCTTTGTAAGACTGTGGCTGTCCTGTCCTCTCCTAGCTGCCAGCTGGCAAGACGATGATCAGCAACACTAAATCTGGTGGCCCTTTGCTGTCATAACCACCACAGCAGCAGATGAGCTCATTTCTTAGGAGTGATAAGCTTGGTTTTGATTGATGGGGGCAATCAATGTTTTTTATTCGTTAAAATTTTAAAGCAAATTAATTGAAAAAAAAATAGTCCTGATGACAGTGGTTGGTGCCTCCCTGGAGTAACCTTCATGTCATGTATGTAATAGGGATACCTGCTCCACTGCTCAGGAGAACTGGATAAAATTAAGCTAAGAACAAAACACAGCCAGGTATGGTGGTTCATGCCTGTAATCCCAGAACTCAGGAAGTGGAGGTAGGAGGATTACAAATTCAAGGCCAGTATGCACTATATATTGAGAACTTGTCTCAAAAAAAGACCAAGACCCAAACCACAACCAAACAGCCACTGTGTTCTGGGAACTTCAGTTTTTGTTGTTGTTGTTGGGGGAGGGGTTATTTTTTGGTGGTACTAGGGTTTGAACTCAGGTCTTCATGCTTGCTAGGCAGGCAGGCGCTCTACCACTTGACCCCACCTTCAGCCCTTTTTGATCTGGTTCCTTTGGAGACAGGGTCTTGCTTTTTGTCCAGAGTGGCTGGGACCTCGATTCTGCTATTTTATGCTTCCCACATAGCTGGGATGGCAGGCACATGCCAGCACACCAAGCTTTTTCTGTTGGGATGGGGTCTTGCAAACTTTTTTGCCCAGACTGGCCTGGAACCCCAGTACTCCCAATCTCAGCCTCCCAAGTAGTTTGGGATGACAGGTACATGTCACTGTACCCAGCTAACTTTTTGCCTGGACTGACCTCAAACTGTGATCCTCCTGATCTCAGCCTCCCACGTAGCTAGGATTACAGGAGTGAGCCTCTGTGCCTGGCTGATCTTTACTTTTTAACTCATTGCTTGGGGGCATTGGTGAGGGAGGCTTCTAGCCCCACTTTTTTTTTTTTTTTTTTTGGCCGAACTGAGAGGGAGGCTTCTAGAGCTAAATTCTTCCAAATATCATTTTTCAGGTCATCAAATTCCTTTTGGAGTCATTTTTGGTGGGACTGACTTAAACGAAGATGCCAACCAGCTAGAGAAAAGTGAAGTCATGGGAAAGGTTCTTGAGGAAGCCAGGTAAGTCCTCAGTTTCCCCGAGTCAGAAACTGAGGCCATTTGGATGGAATGAATTGAAACAATAAGACACAGAAGACCGGGGAGCTTTGTGTCTCACCACCCAGAACCAATTTCACACCCTCTTTTCTTTCATTTGGCACACTTTGATTTTGCCATGGGTCATCACCTTAAGTAAGGTATTGCCTGTGGCCTGCAGTTAAGATTGGGTGCACCTTCTCCGGAGGTCCTGCGTGGTAGAAGACATGGAGTCCTTGCTTTCTGAGAGGGGGAAACAGAGGCAAATCTAGCTTTATCAGTCCACATGTTAGGCTGCAGGTTCACCCAGGCAGTTACTCTGGGCACGGCTCCCAGAACTCAATAAGCCATTGCAAGGGGGTTTGGTGGCAGGGTTCCTGACAGTGACACAGTTCTCCTCCATCTATCTATGGCTTCCGGCCACTCCAGGCCCAAGAGCCACCCAGCTCTGCCCAAGCTCTGCCCACTGTAGGATGTCACTGTGAACATTTAGTAGAGCACAGATCTGTAGGGCTGCTGTATACACCCTGTCCCCAGGCCCTAGCTGTGGCCAGTGCCCTCTAGGCACTGTGACAGCCTTACCTTTCTGAACACTGGGTGGGGTGGTCCCAACCCCTGGTCCAGAGCCCCATCCAGAGCTCTGCTCCCCACTTGTTTCCTGCCAAAATGTTAAGGTCACAGGGACTGCTGGGTGGGGTTGGCTTCCTGCACTAGGTCCCAGCATGTGACCACCCAGAGTGCGGGGACCTCAGACTGAAGGCTGACGCAGGTCACTTTACTAAGACAGAGGTTCTGGTTAGCCTGAGTCAGTGTAATAGGGAAGTCCCCTGTGTATCAACCCCATAGAGAGGGTGACTTTGAATGAGAAGCCTCTGCCCTTGGGCCTGTCCCCTCTGTCCTCGGTCTTTCCTGGCTATATGGCCAGCCTCCTCTGCTCGGCTCACCAGGACACGTCTGATTTTATAGACAGTGGTGTCATCTCATTCGAGAAGGTCATAAAAGCCAGTTAAGATCTTTAAGTTGGTAGTGACTCTCATTTGACAAGGTGTTTAGAAAATGAACATATTTGTACAGCATTATCGAGTAACTTGGGAATCTTGGTGTGAAAAAAATCACTCCATTTCTTTTTGTAGCAAGTGCAGTAAGAATTAAGATAACAACAACAGTAATACGACTCCTCCACAATCACAGAAAAGTTCTGAAAAAGGAGAAAACCAAATGGAAGCCAGCAAATAGGCCTGTGCATCCAACATGGCGACTGGCTGATGATGAGTCGCCATGAGTGATTGGGGGCAGGTGGGGGGTCTGGGCCGTTTGACCCTCCCAGGCAGGTGCTGGCTTGAACAGCCCTGAGTTCGGTCTCAAAGGCCCAGCAGGTCTGAGCTTCCTTCCTACTGTTCTAAATCTTACAGTCACTGTAAAAACAAGACAGGTCCAAATCCAGTGATGGATTTTCAACCCATTAAATCACCAGTCATCCATTTTCTGGGGTGCAGCCCTGACTCTTGACTGACTGGAAGTGCTGGCAGGAAGTGTGGCACTCCTCCATCTCTGTGTGACTGGGTCACTGCTAATCACACCAGAGACAGAGCTTGGGATTCTTCTGTGCAGCCTACAGTTGCTTTTCCTTCCTTCCTTCCTTTCTCCCTCCCTCCCTTCCTTCCTCCTTTCCTTCCTTCCCTTCCCTTCCCTTCCCTTCCCTTCCCTTCCCTTCCTTTTTCTTTCCTCCCTTTCTCCTTTCCTTCCTTCCTTTCTTCCTCCTCCTTCCCTCCCTCCCTTCCTTCTTTCTCTTCCCTTCCCTTCCTTTTTTGGTTGGACTGGGGTTTGTTTATTTATATTTTGGTACAGGGGGTTGAACTCAGGGCCTTCACCACGAGCCACTCCACCATCCCTATTTTTGTGAAGTTTTTTTCAAGATAGGGTCTCACTTGGGCTGGCTTCGAACTGTGATCCTCCTGATCTTTGCCTCTTGAGTAGCTAGGATTACAGGCGTGAGCCACCGGCGCCCAGCATCATTTGAGCAGCTTTTTTTCTTTTCTTTTCTTTCTTTCTTTTTTTTTTTTTTTTTTTTTTGGCATTGGGGTTTGAACTCAGGGCCTCAGACTTGCTGGGTAGATGCTTTTACCACTTGAGCCACTCTCACAGTTGGACCTGGGGTTTGAACTCAGGGCGTCATGCTTGCAAAGCAGGTGCTCTACCACTTGAGCCACTCAGTCCATTTTGCTCTAGTTATTTTGGAATGGTGGTCTCACAAACTATTTGCCTGGGTTGATCTCAAATGGTGATCCTCCCAATCTCAGCTGCCTCCCAGGTAGCTAGGATTACAGGCATGAGCCACCAGCACTTGGTTTAAGGTTCTGTTTCATTTAATGTGGTGTTGATCTCGCCCATCAAGACTGGGGTTACGGTGGAATTTCAGGACCCCTGTTCTTCTGCTGTTCTTCCTGAACATGGAAATGGAGACACACTAATTGTGTGTGCATGCTTGTGTGTGCACAATGGTAAACAAAGGCACCGTGGGGTTGCCTCAAGAGACAACCCTTCATCAAAGGTTTTCTTAATGTTGTTCTTACGTTCTAAAAATATATTCATATTCAGATGAACATTCTATTCAGATGGTTTGTAGCACGATCGTACAGAAGCAGTACTGGAAGAACCCATCCTATGGGGTTGCCGTTAGTAGCATTCATTACATAGTTCTTAAAACAAATTCTGATTTTTATGTGGGGGTACTGGTTAAGGTTCATGGGCATGAAAGCTGCATGGATCTTAGATTTCTCGTTTTAGGCAATGCAGCACACTTTTCTACAAAGCAAAGTACTGAGCTTGTCTAGCTTCGTTTAGAGAGTTTCGTTTTTAATCAAATGCTTTTTAAAAATCAGGCTATTTTTTTCTACAGGGTATAAGTTGAACTTTTTCAGTATTTTAAGCTTTTTTTTTCCTTCCCCACATAGTGTAGAATTTAATCTTAATTTAGCATAGCTTTTCAGCCTGTAAGCAGTATAAAATATTAAAGGTTTGGTAATTACAGATGTAAAAATTAGGGCTGGTGGAGTGGCTCAAGTGGTAAGAGCACCTGCCTAGCCGGTGTGAGACCCTAAATTCAAGCTGGCAATCCTCCTGCCTCAGCCTCCTGAGTGCTGAGATTATAGGCATGTGCTCCCATGCCTGGAATAGAAAAACTTGATATTGTTGAACAAATGAACAAAAGAGAGTTAGTATGGAATGAAGTGCCTAAAAATTAGGTTTGTGGGAAATCTGTCACACGTGATAGGTTAAGCAACGTGGCTTTACTGTGTTGCAGGTCAAAAATTGATAAGCTCGTGTTTTCTGAGTTGGTAGTGTTACTAAAGATGCTTTGGTAAATTTGTCACTAGTTAAAGTGAGTAAATCCACTTTGAAATGGCAATAGTAAGCCCAAGGTGCACTAGTAGTAGTTTTAGGTTGTTCAGAAAAAGAGCACCGCTTTAAATTTCCTTATTCTGGGATCTTTGGGCTACACAGTCTACAGGCGTCATGCTTGCTAGGCTGGTGCTCTATCACTTGAGTCACTCTGCCAGCCCTAGATGAAGGGCATCTGGCAGGAATGCTGACTTGACCCCAGTCCTCCTCACTGACCCTGAACCTTTTACTCTAGGCACCCTTTTGGGATAAAGGGTTCCCCCCTTTCCCCCTCCTTGCCTTCTTCATTCCTGACAGCATCACTGGAAGCCCTGGTCCCTGTGTCCTGAGCTCCCTCTGTCCTCCCTCCCCACTGCCTCTGCTCCTGGTGCTCCAGCTGGTTCCCTGCTCTTCTCCCTCCTCCTCCCTGCCAGCCTCAGTCTGACCTGATTTCTGCTGTTAGGACAGAGCTTTCTCTCTCCTGATTTGCTCATTGACTGACTCAGTGTACACGTTTCTCCTGCCTGCCGGGTTCCAGGCACTGCTGTAGGTGCTGGGGACAGAGCCATGAGCACAGCCATATCCCAGCTCCCCCAGAGGTGACATTCTTACAGCAAGCCACAGAATCGTGCCTTTTGTGTCTGTGAATTTAGCTTTCCAGTCTCAGGCTGGACCCTGAGAGTTTGTCCCTAAAATGCTCTTTGGGGATGAAATGCACAGTTTTTGTGTCATTGATGGTGTTCTCTGTGTGGTGGCTTCTCTCCTCTTTGGGGGTCTTGACTTCTTTTCTGCAAGTTTGAGGCTGTGAAATAGTCTGTTCCCTGGCTCTGTGTGTGTGTGTGTGGAGGGGGGGTGGTCTGATGTCCTGCAGATGTCATGACAGCGACAGTGGTACTTATGGCAAATAGCAATAGAAGATATTTATTGTGCAATAATTAGGGGCTAGGAAACGTGACAGGCGATTTACACACCTTGTGTTATTTAATTGTTCAATTCTCAAGTTTCTCTTTTTCTTTCTTCCCTTTTTTGGGGATTGAACCCAGGAGCTCATGCACGCTAGGCAAGCACTCTATCACTCCAGCCACGACTTCAGCCTTTTCATTTATATTTTGTTTGGTTTTATTTGGACACAGGGTCTCGCTGACTGATCCTTCTGTCTCTGGGTCCCACATAGCTGGGATTACAGGCGCACACCAGGCTCATTGGTTGAGATAGTGTCTCACTAACTTTACTCAGGCTGGCCTCCAACTGCACTCCTCCTGCCTCCACTTCCCACCTTTCTGGAATCACAGTCACGCAAGTCCACATGGCTCAAATTTCTCAATTGTGAAAGTCCTGGCCAAGTGCTCCTGCAGTGCATGACGTCAGACACTTGCTATTCAGTCACTTCCTTTTTTAGCCCAGCGTCTCAGAATAAAGTTTGTTCCCTCAGAATTCAGCTTATTTCTGTTTCTGGTCAGATTTCAGGAGGACATGGCCAGCAGCTCATAACCAATCCAGCAGGCGGGTCGGTCCTCCTTGGCTTCACCCTGTCCCTGTCAGCTGTGTCTTGTGCCATATGCAAGGATTACTGAGATCCGCCCATCCGTGCAACCCCACTTCACTTGGGGTTGAATGTGGGAGATTGGTGAAGGTTGGTGTGGGGAGGATGTGCACAGTCAGGGAGGAGAGTCTCCAGGAAGAAGCTGTTCCTTTGGGGTCACCTGGGGGAGGAATGTCCATGAGTGGTTCTTTGCATGCTGTGGTTTTTGGAGATAGAGTCTCTTGAACTATTTGCCTGGGCTGGCCTCGAGCCACAGTCCTCCCAATTTCAGCCTCCGAAGTAGCTAGGATTACAGGTGTGAACCACCAACTCCTGCCATTTCATAGTTTTTGTGCTTAGAAAGTCTTTGCCAGGCTGAGACCACATATAATTTTGTAATCTTCTTACACTTTTACCTTTTTAAAATTTAAGTCTGGAACTGTATTTTTAGATATATGCTGTGAGGGAGGAAAGGAACCTTTTCTACTTATTTCACCCCTTCTCCAACTGTACACCGTGTGGAATTCTTAGATTTCTTGGGGCCTGTTTGTGGCCTTACAGCAAGCTTTGGTTTCCTGATCAAGATTTTCTTGAATTTCTAACACTATTTTAATTATTCTGCTTTGAATATATTTTGCTATCGTATGACTCTCATCTCTGGATTCTTCTTAATCAGAATTTTCTGCGTGATTGTTACCCAATATAAGCATAGATAAACTTTAAGACTGTTTTGTCAGGTTCCCACGGGAACTCACTTGTGGATTTTTGCTTGAAACAGTCCTGAATTTCTCATCTAGTCTGGTGAAAAGGGAAGTAGGAATGTGCATTTCCATTAAAACATATCTGTTACAGCCGGCACTGGTGGCTCATATCTGTAATCCCAGCTACTCAGGAGGCAGTGATCAGGACGACCAAGGTTTGAAGCCAGCCTGGGCAAAATAGTTCTGTGAGACCCTATCTCAAAAAAAAAAAAAAAAAAAAAAAACCATCACAAAAATAGGGCTGGTGTTGGCTCAAAGTGAAGGTCTCGTTCAAGCCCCAGTACCTCAAAAAACAACAACAGCAACAAAACCCCCATCATATCTGTTACTACTTCTGTACCTTATGTAAACACAATTTTAATAAATAGACCAAACTTCATATTCTTACATTGGCTTCAGAATCCGTGTGACTAAGCCAGGTGCCAGCGGCTCACACCTGTAATCCTAGCTACTTGGGATCAGTTCTTGGCAAATAGTGCTTCAGAGCCCACCTCCAAAATAACCAGAACAAAATGCTGGAGGTGTGGCTCAAGTGGTAGAGCACCTGCTTTGCAAATTCAAAACCTGGAGTTCAAAGCCCCAGTCCCACCAAAAAAAGGAAAGAAAAGAAACCGTGACTGTATATATGCCAGCAGGTGTTCCTGTGGACCACGTGGGCACCTGCACATCTCAGCTGCTGCAGCTTGGCCTTCCCTCCCTGGTCAAATTTGGGGTGGGCAGTGCCCCCCACCCCCAGGGTGGCCCTTAGGGTTGGGTGACCACGTCCCTTGCTTCTCTCCTGCACACACTTTCTTGCTTTGATTTTATCTTTGCTCCTTGATCTTACATGAAAGGCACAAGAATACCAGGAAATTTTGGGTTACTTTTTTTTTTTTTTGCAGTGAACTCAGGGTCTTCACCTTGAACCACTCCACCAGCCCTATTTTTGTGCTGGGTATTTTCGAGATAGAGTCTCATGGAATGATTTGCCCAGGCTGGCTTCGAACTGCAATTTTCCAGATCTCAACCTCCTGAGTAGCTGGGATTATAGGTGTGAGCCACCAGCTCCTGGCTAGGTTTACTTCTTGCATATGCAACTTTTATGGATGTGGGTGGAGATTGAGCCTACAGGGCAGTGACCAGGAGTGACAAGGTTGATTGCACCTTAAATTTAGCCTTACCCTGTCTCATAATTTTTTTCCCAAGAGCTGTTTCATGGTTACGCTAATTGAATTCCAGCCTAACTGTCTCCATTACTTCTGTTCATTTACTAGGTTTGCTGTGGCGTTCACTGAGTCCATGAAGGAAAAGGCACAGACGCAGTGGGTACGTGCTCCCTTCGTGTTAGACGTGTCCTGGGGGTCTGAAAGTCACTTTCATTAGACGATGCCTGGTGGAGCCTCTCAAAACTTCACTCTTTGTTTTTTTGGGTTTTTTTGGTGTTTTCAATGAACAACAAAAATAGCCCTGTAGTCACGTGTCTGGTTTTGTCTGCTTCCTCTTTCTGTCCTCGGTTGGGGAGGTTTACAAGCTGCATTAAATTCCTCCTGCAGCCTCGTGTACCCGAGCTAACCTCTGAGGAGGCAGAGGTCGTTTCCTAGGTTGGACTATTTATTTGAAGAGTTTTTAAAGAGTCAGAGCAAACTAATTCACTTACTGACTTTTGCAGGGCAGGTGGGCTGAGCTTGCAGGGATCTAAGGAAGCTCTCAGCGGGCGGAAAGGCTCCAGACAGCCTGTGGGGCAGAACCAAGGAGCCCTTGGGAGATCAGCATCCTCTGCATGCCCAGGCTGGTCTCTGAGGTGGGGCTGTAGCTGGCCTGTGTCCTCAGCACTGTGACCCCTGCTCTGTGCTCTGCCCCCCTGCTCTGTGCTCTGCCCGCTCTGTGGCTGTGCACAGTTTACCCCTCACTGTCTGCAGCTCTAATCCTGCCAGTGGGACTTTACAGGCTGCACACATTCCTACAGAATTTGCAAAATTTAGCACTCGGAGACTCTGTGCTGGGACAGGGCAGTCCCCAGTGGGGCCAGTGCCTTCTCCTGAAGCTGTGGACAATGACGTGTGAGGCAAGTGAACAGCTCTTATTCATCACGCCACACACTTCCCAGGCTGAGAACCGCGGTGCCAGTTCTTTTTATTTTACTTTTTATTGAATGATTGATTGATTGTTTGCAGTGCTGGAGATCTAACCCAGGACCTCACACAAATGAAGCAAGTGCTCTACCTCTGAGCTACATCTCCAGCCCCTTGTTTTTAAAATTTTATTTTGCAATAGAGTCTCACTAACTTTCCCAAGCTGGTCCTAACTTATGATTCCCCTGCCTCAGTCTCACAAGTGCTGGGATTACAGGAATACAGTACCATGCCTGGTTGTAAGCCTGCATTACTTTTCCTTTTTTTTTAATGCAGTGCTGGGGTTTGAACTCAGGGTCTACACCTTGAACCACTCCATCTGCCCTCTTTTTTTTGTGGTGGTTTTTTTTTTTTTTTCTTTTTTTGAGATAGGGCCTTGAGAACTATTTGCCCAGCTCTGGTTTCAAACTGCGATCCTCCTGATCTCTACTTTCTGAGTAGCTAGAATTATAGGCATGAGCCACCGGTACCTGGCCTGTATTCCTTAGAGAGATTGTTTTGTTTTGCTGGATTGGGATTAAACCTGCATTTCTTGGTGCAATTTAGTAGACTGTCAATCTCAGAATTAAGAACAAACAGCCAGGTATGGGGGCTCATGCCTGCAATCCCAGCACTCAACCCTTGGGAGGCTGAGGTAGCAAGACTGTGAGTTCAAGGCCAGCCCGGGCTACACAGTGAGACCTTTTCTTGCCTTTTCAAAGCCAATGTGCTCGCTTCGGCAGCACATAAACTAAAATTGGAACGATACGGAGATGATTAGCATGGCCCCTGTGCAAGGATGACACACGAATTCATGAAGCGTTCCATATTTAAAAATAAATAAATAAATAAAACCAAAGCCAAAACCAAAATAGAACCAAAACCCCCTTAAGTTTCCTGGTTTCTGGCTTTACCCTTGTACTGTTTAGCATTCTGTCTTCCTTGTTAAGGTTGTTGTATAACCCATTGGTTCCCAAGGTGGCATCCATGGCCCCATGGGGTCCCTGGAACTCTTTCACAGCCCCACAAAGCCAGACCAGTTTTTGTCATAATGCCAAGGTGATGCGAAGTGTCTTTCCCACTGTGCGAAAGCCATGATGGGCAAAACAGCCAAGGCTGTGAAGACCATGATGCCAACTGGGACCGGCACTTAGTCATCCACCATTCACCGCCACCCTTATTCCTGCTTCCCTTAGAAATGCCCTTTGGAAGGGAGGAGAGTGATAAGGCTTTTGAATGTCAGCCTTTCCTGCGTGTAGTTGGTGTTCTTGGGGGGAGGCCGACGGCGCACAGAGCACTTCTGCTGCACACCCGCGAAGTCTGGAGAAGAGGCCCTCGTGGGATGTTTGAGTTGCAAGAAGATCTAGCCACTTGTTGACTCCATTTTTTTTTTTTTAACCTGATAGACTAACTGGTAGATGCCCTATGGTTGATCAGCTGTGGGCGTCTTGAGAGACGTTTCCTTAAAACCCAGTGGATCGTGCCAGGCACGTTTAGAAAAATGACTGGCGGTATTTGTTGCCAAACAAATGTGAATTTTCAAGCACAAGTTAGAATTTTGGAAAGCAGCCTTAGTAGCAAAAAGGTGATACCTCACAGTTAAGGTGGACCAGGCGCCAGACACACGTTCTTCAACAGCCCTGGGCCGCAGGCTTTGCTCTCAGGAGACCTCTGCCAAGCGCACAGGAAGGCGTCTGAGAACGCAGCCGAGGCGGTTCTGGCTTGGATGAGGATGCCAGAGGCACGAAGATTACTCTAAGAAGAGAAGATGAATTTGTTTTGACAGCTTGAAGGGGTGCCTTGGTTACTAAGCTTGAACATGAAGTTTCCTTAAGACACATTTTTGTCCTTTTGGGTAGGTGGATTTTTTGCAATAAAATTCAGTTCAATACTTTCATTTGATTAGTTTTTGCAGGTAAAAAAAAAATATATATATATATATTTATATATATATTATATACATAATATGAAGGTTTATTTTCCAGCTGATTTATAGAATCATTGTAGGAGGATTTTTGTAAGACTGCTGATTGTGAATCATACAGTTTTTGAGCAATAAAGTCTTGCTCTTTTCAAATTTCTTTTTAAAAATTATTTACTGTTGTACTGGGGGTACATTGTGACATTTACCAAAGTTCTTAAATATATCTAGTTCAACTCACCCCTCCATCATTCTCCTTTATCCTCCTCCCTGATTCCTGGAATAGTTTCACCGGGTCTCACTTTTTCTTCTTCATACATGAGTGCATAATATTCCACCACGTTCACCCTCCTACACCCTTTCCTTAGCTCCTCCCCTAAGTATTACTCTTCATTATAGAATTGCCAGCTTTGAATTTTTAATTTTCCCGTTCTCTATTTTAGCAAGGAGGCTTGGCTCAGGTTATGAGTTCATTTTACCCAGTTCTTATCAGATGAGAATCAACCTTCTGTAAGCCCAGTTAGAAGGATTTATGGCATTCTCTGCTTATTGTTTTTGTGATTTCACTAGTGAGAATATAAATTCCTAAGGAGTTTATGTGTGGACTTGATTTTACGCAGGTAATCCAGTGAGATTACGCGACACACACACACATGCACGCACGACCCCAGCACCTGTGTTGTTCTGCAGCCACAAAACATGAGTCACAAATGTGAGCCGTCATTTCATTTTAATTAATTTAAAATTGAATTTAATAGCTGTCATTTAAACTTTTCCAGGGCTGCATTTTAAAGAGGTAAGCAGAAGCAAGTGGAATTAATGTTAGGATTTTTTTTTTTAACCCACCACCCACAGTCAGCCATGCTCGTGTGTACCACGTACAGATCATCTCCAACACAGGCCTCCCTGTGAACACCGCCTGCAACTTCAGGCCAAACCCCCCTCAGGAAGGTCTCAGAACTCCTCGCCATGGTCATGGTTACAGGGAAGGACCTAGGTTAAAATCCACCAATAGCTGGGATGCTCAGGGCGGGGGCCTGTGGACGGTGGCCAAGCAGGAACCTTCACAGAGTTCAGTATTTATTGGGGTTTGTGTGCAGGTGTGCCTGACCGAATCTCCAGGTCAACTCACAGGACTTGATCTGAGGTTCCCACCCGGAGTCATAAGGTCGCTCTTTCTAGCATGGCCAACCAAAGCCCTGGGATGATTGGAGGTGGCCGGCCCCACCCTAAGGTCCAGGGTGGCACCTCCACCCTAAACAGAGACAATCCCATGAGGGATCACCAACAGAGCTTCCCGTAGCTGTGGGCAAAGCCATGTCCCTCGGTGGCCACGGTCAAGGTCTTTACTGCCCACCCACCACACCCAGGTCTCCTTGCCTCAACATGTGCTCAGTGTGAAAGTGACCGATGAGGTGTTTTACACTTCGTCCACACCCAGTCTGCAGCAGCCCTCGTTCGGGTCAGCGCAAAGACCGGGAATGTACCAAACGAGGGCCTGTTCTCTCACCCTGGCGTCAGCGCCAGCCTCTGAGAAAGCCGGTGTCCTTAGAGACTTTTTTAGAGGTCTTGATGTATTGCTGGCCAACTACACAAATTAGTTCAATTGGATTTCAATAAAGATGGTTTTATTTTCACTTTTTAAATCTGAGATGCATTTATTTGGGCTCCTGTCATTTTGTAGTGTTGTTTACAAAAATTTTAACTTGACATCGGGCCTACTTTGTAGGGGACAGGATCCCCCAGGCTTATCCCCACGTCAGCAGGCCAAGCTGCTATCTATCTGACACTGTTCTGTGTTGGTCCTATTTGGGGCAGCATGACTTTTTGTGGCATTATGTTCCTTATTTGCCATTTTAAAGACTGATTCCCTGCACATTGATGACTGTGACATATGCACTGTGTACATTTTTAAAAAACATCCTATATTGGGTTTTGATTTCTTGTTGCACAGTGCTTCTGCTCTGTTCCAAGCTGACAACACTGTCTCTAAATTCATCAGGCGTTCACCAGAAAAATGTAAAAATTTTTACCAAAAAAAAAAAAAAAAGCCAGTTCTTTTTGTAAACAGTGGCCTCTTGTTCCAGTGCAAGTAGGGACAGTGTTTAATGTCTCTGCTGCGTTCAAAGTCCTTCCTGCCTGTCCCACTCTGTTAGATAAGTGTTCTGCTAAGAGGACATTTCTAAATGCAAACGTTTATTTATGAACTCTTTTTAGAAATCTGGAGTTCCAGTCGATACTGCCCAAAGAGGCCATCTCTCTGTGAGAGGGCAGTGATTGCAGGACCCAGTCAG